GCTGTGTGGGGATTATATAGGATAATGTATCGAAATGCTTCCTTCATAAATTACTTAAATTATTTCTTTTCTCTCTTTAGGAACATTCCCAAAGATGTTGAGGTGTTTTAAGGAATGTCTCCAAAACATCTCCCTCACCAACAACCTCAGTGTGGACAATTCCTAATTGTAACATTCTGCCTTTAGATGGAACGAGATACCTCAGAGGATTAACACCATATGAGTGCGGGCAGATACAAATAGAGCATAGCAGGTGAAGTAAAGATGACCAGTCTGCAGCTCCCAGTGGGCCACAGTTCTCTCTTCTGGCCGCAAAGACTATCTAGTTAACTTTATGTGAATTCAGTTTCATATTCTGAAAGATAGACTTTGATTTGTCTCCGAATCTTTGAAAAAGGGATTCATGTCCTTCAGGTTAGTTGTGGGGAGGTGGATGGTTGCAGTTGTTGGGGTCAGATTGGGTTCCAGAGTGAAAACATGGCTTCCCAGCTTCAAGTCTGTGGCTGGAGGTGAAGTTCTCAGAGTCAGCGTTAGGAGTGGACCATGACCCTGAAATGTGTGCACGATTGCCACTACTATTGCTGCACATACATTCATGCACACTCACACTCGTTTCTTTATGTCTCTTGTGGCATCATATAAGTTACCACAAGAGGAAAGCAAATGATTTACGGATGTTTGTTAATTTTGCTTAAGCGTTACAGATGAGTTTTTTAAAGTAACGAAGAAAAATAACATTTTTGGAACCACATTGCCAAAGATACTGTGAAAATCTTAAATATCAGCAAGACTTCAGAGCAAGTCCCTTGAACAAACTGGTACTTATTTACTAGAAAAATTCACAAGGCTGGGAAGCATAACAGAGATAAGCCAGTTCTGTAGTTGCTGTCATGAATGAGGTATGGGGTGTGACCAATTTCAGTGCTATGTCTTTGAAATGTTTGTTCTTAAAGCAACTTAAAAAAATACCTCTTATGATGAAAAAACACATATTTTATATGCTTGCTATTTTATTTTACGACTTAAAAGATCTTAACAATGTGAATGTTAATGTAACTATACATCATCTAATGTAACTGTGGTTATCTGATGTAGTAATTTTGGATCATCTAAATGTGATTCTTAGAATAGATAAAGTGAAAACTTCACATTCTGTTGCTGTTTACAAATTTGTTTTTTTTTTTTTTTGGTTTCTTTTGAGATACTTCATTTCTAATTGCTTCCTCCAAACAACCTTCTGCTGATGCTAATAATTACCCGGCTCTTTTGTTAAAGTTCCTCCATCAGTGACAATGACCTGATTTTTGAGAACTGAAACCCAGAAAAAGTTTGAAAGATTTCATGCAGACATCCCTCAAAGGGAAGTCACAAATCTCTAGTCACTACGTAGCCAGAGTCCAAAAATTCAGCTCTTGATTCCCTCCTTCATAGCACTTCATTTGTGGAGACCATTACAAAACTGTCAAAAATTAGGGATTAGTTTGGGTGAATGGGGTAATAATTTGTCTAACTTTATTTGAATGTGTTAAACTAGTGACATGTTATGTATATACATGACTAAATATATATGATTATATATATATATGTATATGATTTTGGGGAGCCTTGTAAAATTCTCTATGCTGTGACTATAGAAAAGGACACATTTCAAAAGCCTGCATTTACAATAGTGATTGTCTTTTAGGAGAATGAATAGAACAAATAATGACAAATATATCTGCAACTTTTTCAGGAACATTATTCTGTGTGTGTGTGTGTGTGTGTGTGTGTGTGTGTGTGTGCGCGCGCGCGTGCGCTTTAGGTCTACAAATTCACTAAGTCTAGAAAGGACCTTAAAATTATCCTCTGGGATACTCCATTTATTAAAGAGGAAACTGAGACACAACTTGGTTGAAAGATTTGCCTAAAGTGAGATAGCAACTTACTGCACTGTGAAAACTAGAATCCAGCTCTAGCTTTGAATCATCTCCTATTCCTAATCCTTTTATAATTACAATTTTATATCAGTATGATTTTTACCATTGTTGAAGTTCTCACCACATGTTTACCTCAAGAAAGAAGATAACAAGAACCTAGTCTCAAACATCTTAAATTATTTCAAGATACAATCCTACATTTCAATTCAGAGCAAAGTTTCCCAATAATCCAAAACAAAAAACCCTTTGAAATAACTCTCCCAAGGAGCCTAGGGATAATGATGAGCTCATGGTTTTCTAAGTACAATTAGTAAATATCGAAGGGTATATAAAAGGTAAGTGTTAAGCCAAGAACCTTTTTCATTTGCACTGTAACCAGTAATTATTTTGGAAAGTCCTGGAAATTCTCAAATATTAGTTTTCTTTCCTGACTGCACATTAAATTATCTGCGGGAAGAAAAGATGCCTGAATCCCAGCTAAAACCAATGAATCTAAATATTAGAACCCTTGATAGTGGACGTGTGTGTGTGTGTGTGTGTGTGTGTGTGCGCGCGCGCGCGCGCGCTCACGGCTTACGTTAGCATTACTAAGCTCCCCAGGTGATTGTAGTATGAGCCTCAGCGGAGACCCATTTCCTAGCACTCAGCCCTATCCCACTCTAATCCGCTAAGGGACAGCATCGGACCGCTGAAACTCAGGCGTGCCGCCAAGGCTTCTCTTCCCCTTTGGTCGCACTAGGGGGCGCTCGGGCACCGGATTTTACTCGGCCACTTCTCGCCCAAATCAAGAGGTAGCGCCGAGGAAAAGGCGAAAGAGGTAGAGGGTTCGGGCAAAACAGGGAACTGCACTCTATGTATTTATATAGCCGAGGGCCGGCAGGTATTTGTTTAAACAGCAATACCTCCAAAGTTGGCTTTTAGGAGCTTCTGATTCAATGGCAGCTCTTCTTTTCTCCTCTGGACTTGGGGAAACTTTCTGCAGGAAGAAAATCCGGGCCCGGCAGCGGGGTGGGATGGTTTACGGCTTTGGATCTTGAGCAGTTCACTGTTTAAATAAATCTTGGTGAGCAATGGAGAACAATCTCCATATTAATCTTGTGTAATTAGCGTTATAACCCTCAGCAGCCTGAGAACCATTAAAGACAAAGCTTTATGCAAATATCCCTTCCCCGGCTGCTGCCCCTCCTTTCTTGCTGGGTTCCCTCCCCCACTCGCTCCCTAGTCGCGGGTTCTGGCGCAGTCTGTGAGCCGTTTTTAAATGACACGGTACATTGGACACCTTAAATTATAAAGTTCTTGACTTAAAAAAAAATAAAGGTTAAAAAAAAAAAAAAAGAGGAGAAGCAGCAGCAACCTAAGAAGAGAGGGGCTTGTGCAGGCTGAGGCTATTAGAAGGTTTTAGCCTCTGGGGAATTGGCACCTGCCTTTGGCAGCCAATATTGTCCAGTTAAGGACAGAACCCAATGTGTGGAGAGATTTAGGAGCCGGGAGGTGGCATTTTCTCCAACCAGCAGCTCTGGGGGCGCACACCCATGGTTGGGCGCTTTTCCGGCAGGAAAGGGCAACTAGCCGAATTCACCCCAAGGACTCCACTCTCCCCTCCAGACGTGCACATTTCCCAGGCGTTAATCTTGAACTGAGTCCTCAGCTGAGAGTCGCTGCTAAAAGGAAATAGGGCCTCAGAGGAGGAAGAGAGTGTGGGGAATCAACACACAAGTCTTAACTTGCACTTGTATGTGTGTGTACGGGGGGGCGGGGGTTAGGGAGAAAGGTGCGCACAGAGGCCAAGATGCGCGCACAGCCGGGCGCGCGCGCGCGCGCCGACACAGCCAGCCAGCCAAGGGCGCGCAGATCCCCTGCCTGGCTCTGGATTATCTGCTCTGTGTTTACTGTTTCGGAGGGCTTTACGTGAAACGAATAAATTTTTACTTGCTCCCAGGGACCGGCTTGTTGTTTTATGGCATGTATTTAAAGCCTCTTTTGTCGGTGTTGAAATGGTCCAAGCTCCCAAATACTGTGCAGGGCTCTGAGCGTGGAATGCTGAAATGCAATGAGCATGACTGGTGCGGGAAAATGCGGTGGAGAATCGAGCCTGATTCCTTCCCTGCACACACACACACACACACACACACACACACACACCGCTTGCTTTTCTTTTTCACAAACCAGAACATAATGTTTTTTAATGTTTTATGCAGAGGGCCAAGGGAATGCAGTCTAGAGAAATATACCTGAAATACTGCAGGCATTGAAGAATTTTTACAGAAACTGTATTCTGATTAAAAACAAACCTCAATGCAAATCTATTTATTCTTCTTTCCATCTGTATCCGCTTAGGGTTTATTCCTTCCTTTTCTGACTTCTTCTCCCCCTCCCCCCAAAGGTAAGCATAACGCTAGGCGAAAGTTCAGATTTGGCTCTTTTAACCCGTAATAGCTGTCGTCTCTACACTTTGTTTATAAAATGGAATAAGAATGGGAGGGGGACTTAATTTAACGGCACAACTGGGCTGTATAAATACAATATTCATTTTTTAAAACTGAAGTGGATTTAGTTTACTCTGAAGAACAGTAATTCAAACAGCACCAATCTGCTCCAGATAGAGTAGCTATGCACATCTATACAGGCAAGTTTGAAATTTAGAACAAGGCTTTGATTTATTCCCTTTCTATCAGTGATTAATGTCCCTTAATTAGCTAATCTCAAAGCCATTATTTACAACCAGGGCAGACAAAGGGAAAACTGATGATCCAACACTTATGCCAGTTTGAAATTTTGAAACAACAAAAAAATGCTTTATTCAGAGTGGAGTCCTTGGTCTTTCAAATGAACCTCGAAATAACAAAGAACCACCCCCCCATCTAAACCGAAATAAAATAAAATAATGAAGAATAAAACTCCACCCCCACCTCAATCATCGCCCTCTCCTTTTCCCCAGAAATTGTTGCCTAGAGCAATTTGAAAATGTAGATATTTAAACAGAAACGGGATGTATCCTTTATGTCTTCTTTCTACTTAAAATGTATAAAAGTTCTCAATATTGGTACTTGTTGGGAACGGGGTTATAGTTGTTTTCCAAAATCGTTTGCGGGGAAGGAGTTTTTATTTTGGAAAAAAGCAGAGTTTTCTTTTTGTACTTTTCCAAGGCGGGCATTCAGGGCTTGGGAACAGGTTTGCTTCTCAAGGTCCGGGGTCTCAGAAACTGTCCAGGCCGGGGTTCGTATACGCCTGTTAGCACCGGGCAGAACCTAGGTGTTCGGGAATTTTTCTTTTAACTGTTCTCCCCAAAAGGCCGTCCTCTCAGCGGCTCGATTTCGAGTGACCCTTAAAACTCATCTCTGGATAGAGCTGCAGTTCCTCCGGTCTGTGTTGGTAGAAAACCAGGTAGATCGGGTATCCTGGGGGGCTGTCGGAACCTCCTTCTTGGGGGCTGGAGCGGGTCGCCTCAGGAGCCGGAGACAGCTGGCCCCGGTGGCCCTAAGCCACCGCGGAGCTTTAGAAAGGGGCGGAGCGGGCCAAGGCTGAGCCCGGGCCTTGGCGCTCCACTTGGGACGCGCTGCCCGTCGCCGCAGGCCACTTGGGTCGTCTCAGCTGTGTGTCCTTCTCTGGCCCCCGCCCCAGAACCCACGGTGAGCAGGGCACTCCCACGTCCACGCTCATTCCCATCATTTTCTCCTGGAATAGCCGTCCCTTCACTGCATCTCGGGTCCTTTGTGCGCTTTACATGTTCAGAAATAGAAAATATCCCGAGGACAGGACCCGTGGAAATGTTTCTAAGCCGACGTGGGCAGCCTAAGGCAAGCAAGAGTGGAACCAAGCGGGGCCTCGAAAGGCATCCAATCCGAACGGTTGGGAGCTGTAGATTTATTCGTGGACTCCTGAATTCAAGACCTGAACGGGAACACAAAAAGGCCTGTGGAAATCGGAGCATGCCCTATCAGGCAGCAAGATAATGGGATTAGAAATCCCGTGTGGAGAGTAGGCGGCCAAGGAGAGGCAAATAGCACGAGACCCGAGCCTAGGGAGGGGGAAGGAAGGGCTTCAGGCGAGGGTGTGTGTGTGTGTGTGTGTGTGTGTGTGTGTGTGTCTGGAAGTGGGGGGAGCGTTGGCAGGCGGGCTGGAGGGGGGGGGGGTGGAGGAAAGGGAGAAGGGAAAAGGAAGCTAGGGAGAGAACAAGGAAAAGCTAGAGCACCCTGTATCCTTTGTTTGAGAGCACCCGCGTCCTAGATCGTAGAAGCGAGGCCGTCATTAGCGCTCTGACCCGGAGCAGAGGCGAATTAGAGAAATGAGGGGACAGCCCGCACCTCCTCGCCTGGTTTATTTCGCTTTCCTTGAAATCCCTCGGCCTCCAGGTTCCCGTCGCCTAAGCTTTCCCTCAATGTCCCTCCCCCGCCCCTTCAACAAACAATGCACTGAGGCTGAGAAGGGAGGGAAGGAGGGAGTCAGGGAGAGAAAACCAACAAGCTTTTCAGGGTGAAAAATAAACCTGCGTATCCAGATTACCAACATGTTTTTTCCATTTGCGTTGACTTATTTGGAAACAGTTGTTGGGGTGATAATGTCGCCTGAGAGATTAACTGTTAAAGTCTCAAAAGTTCCCAATGGTTGTGGAATCCTGCTTGTAAAAATACCGATTTTTTAATTAATTAATTTATTTTTTTTACGTTTCCTTTCCCCCCTTTCCCAAATGAAACCCCCGAGAATGCATTTTGGTCTTGGGGGCTGAGGGCGTGGCGGACAGACAGCTGTTGAATCCAAACAAAGACTGTACTGGATGCAGTGCTGTTTGGGGTTCCATCTGGGAGGATTTTTCATCTCCTTCTTCCCATTCCAAGGGAAAGGAAGGGATTAGGAATGGCCTGGTCAAAATTGTGGGTTTGTGACAGACAGATGGAACAGGAAAGAATGAACCCTAAGCAACAAAAGGATAATGGAGCTTTGGTCTCTGGGTGTGTAAATTGGGAAACAAACAAAATAACCAAGGAAGCCAAAGACATACCACTGCTGGGGAAATGTCTACAATGTTGATTCATAAATTAATCATCTCTTCCTTCTCTACCTTTCTCTCAACGATTAAGAATTGTGGCCCCCATCTAACAAACTGCCAGGGAAGCCAAACTGCAGGACATTTTTGAGAAGCAAGGCTTGAAATCTGCCCGAAAGTAACAAAGCCACCAGCCAGCCCACCAGTCAGCCAGAGTGCCTCTCTCTCTCTCTCTCTCTCTCTCTCTCTCCCTCCTGCTCACCCTCTCCCTCCCTCTTTCTACCCCCCCACCTCTCTCCCTCCTTTCCTCCCTCCCTCTCTCCTGTCTTCCTCCAGCTAGCCTTGCCCCAGTTAGCTTCCAAGAGCAAGTCAGCAGCCTTACACCTGCTGGAAGAATCATGGATTTGGTGGCGGGAGTCTGTGGGGTGGTTCTGAGCAAACCACGAGGGCACCGTATCAAGCCTGCCTATGACCCCTATAGGATCCTCTTCTGGAATATATCGGAGCTAAGAGTAGACAGGCTTTCCTCTGCCTGAGTCATTGCCTGCTGTCACTTTCGGTTTCTCTTACCAAGCAGCCCCTGCCACCCCTTTCCTCTGCTCCTCTCTGAGCAGTTCTATCCTTCACAGAGTTTGCAAAGCTCTCCTACTGACTTAGGGTGCATGGTTTGAAAGAAGAGACTAGAGTGGATCCAAAGGAAAGGAGGGACCCATTGGAGTAGTTCTTTTAAAAATTTTAATTTTATTGACACATCTCTGAAAGGTTTGTTTTGGTATAATTCGAAGCTGCCAATTCCAAATACAAATAGAGGGACGCACACTGTGTATATCAGATGTTGGGAATAAAAATGGTTTATTGATTGAAATAATAGAGGCATTATTTTGATTTGTCTTGACATGAATGCTGATTTATAGAGCTCTTCCCCCATTGATTTCTTCTTGTAGTCCAGACACATGGAAATGATAAAAATCTCACCAAAGCTCACCTTGGTGCTAATCAAGACTGCTCGATGCACATTATAAATCTGATATTATATTTATTGCTTATCTTTATTTGAGGGGTTAGTCCCCATCCTAAGATTGTCCCCTTTCAAAAAAAAAAAACACTTTTCAAATGCATCTGTTTTCACTTTGCACTTTCAACGGGCTGGAGCAGACAATAGTGTGAAAAACATCTGAAAATATGAGGCGACAGTGCTGCATGTGTGTTTCATTTCTGCAGTGTTAGGGGAGAAAATAACAAAAGAAACACACTACACACACACACATACACACACACACACACACACACACACACACACACACACACACAGGTCCAGGACTGAAGCACAAAAGGCTTGCTGACCCAGCGCTAACATACAAGACAAATTGAAGAAAAGGGCAAATGGAAGGAGTGGCTAGGGCGGCCAGGGGCCGGGCAGTTTGGAAAAAGATCAAGGACAAACAATAGTTAAGAAATTGGACTTGGGTAGGGTAAAAGCAGAGGGAGAAAGTAAAGTGCCCGGGACTGGAACTCATGTCCCTGACTATGGGGAGGATAAGTTTTCTTAAAACGCTAAGAGTTTCCCTTTACTACATGATAAGAGAAAAATAATCATAAAACAAACACAACACAACCCCCAAACAAAAGCAACCAGGCGCCCCAAACCCAAACCCAAACCCAAACCCAAACCCAAACCTAGTTGTCTCTGTTCAACGGTCTCAGGGTCACGAGAGAACCCTGTGTGGCCTTGAGTCTTCTCAGGACAGGTTGCGGGTAGACCGAGGAACCCTTTTCCGTGAAGAAGACGGGACTACAAGGGCAGGAGTGAGATTATCTGATTATTAGCGCTGTTGCCCCCCTCCCCCCAAAGACGACTACGTAAAGTAAAGGCCAGCCGGTAAAAGGGACAAGGATTTAACATCTGCGAGAGCATCGGAGGGAACGGAGTTGAGGCTGCGGCTGCGGGGCTGGCTGGACGACAACTGCGCGAAGTCGCCAGTCCCCGGGCCTGCGGGAGCGAGAGACGGAGCCCAGCACCACGCGAGCGCCAGCAGGAGCCCTCCGGCTCCACAGCCTCCAGCCCGCGGGCACCCGACGGGGCTCTCACGGGCGGGCTCGGGGCCGAGGGGGGCTCCTGGGGGGAAAGGAACAGGATTGCCTGAGCAGCCGAGGGGATGCCCTGCATTTGCGAATTCTTGGTCCCGGGTCCCTGCCTCTGTTTCCCCGCAGCCCCGGGGACGCGCCCTCGGAAGAGACTTCCCGGGGCTGAGGACGTGGCGGTGACCGCATCCCGGAGACCCTAAACGCCCCCCCTCCCCCCCGCATCCCTGCATTAAAGAGCGAGCTTCGGTTCTGCCGGCTCCGCGGACCACGTTGTCACTGCCACCAGGATTTGAACGTATTGCTCAGCCTGTTGCTGCTGCCGCGTCGCTTGGGGCTACCTAGACCCCCGGCAGGGGTGGGGATCCTTCCCGGGACGCCCGCCCCCTGACCCCGCGGGGGCAAGCGCCGGTTTTCGGGTTGGAGACAGTGTCCGACTTGGCGGGGCCGGTCCCCTCCTGAAGCTCACCTCAGGCAGTCTCTGCAAGGTGCAGTCCGCACGTTAGCGTTCCTCCGGCGGGGACGCGATCGCCTGCGGCTCCGGAGGCTGCCTTCTCCGGGCGGGTCCCAGGGTAATTGCGCGTTTCTCTACATTTAGTGCTTTGCAGATTTAGGGAGCGCGCTTTCGCTTGTACACCGTCCGCCGACAGCCCCTTTGCGTTAGGGAATCCTGTCCCCCCGCCCCACACGGACGCACACTCATTTTATTTTTTAATAAATGAGTTTAAAAATCAAAACAAACCTGTGAATCAGTCCGCCCAATTTTATGCTCCATCTCCTGTGTTATGTGTGTGATTCTCTCTGCCAATCGATGGGAGAGAGTGTTTGGGGGCATTTGCAATCTCCTTTGTCACTTGCCACTCTCTGTGTGTATAGCTTTTACCTACCATTTGTTTACCAAATCAGTTCGTATTTTCTTAGCCCGGGATTTAGGGTTTGCATTCCTGGATTAATTAATTGCCCAGTACTCAGAGGAGAGGACGTTTAGCGGAGCCACCTGATGCTGGGAGGGCCCGACGTATTAGGGCACTACCAGGAGGCTGTTGTGACAGATCCGGCCCTCTGCACGCTCCGAATTAACTCAAAGTGCCCTCTGCCTTCCTAGGATTAAAAACAATGGCAACACCAATAACAAAACCCCAATATAATTTGACGGGGGGGGGGGTGGGTGCCTAAGGTCTCCTGGCCTCTACCTCTAGGCATTAGGAGATAACTGTTTGCCCTTCCCAGAGACACCTTGTAGTTTCAGTGCCCCAGACGGCAGAGAATATGTCTTCAGTTCAGTTCTCCTGGCCATCGGATGCCTACCTGTACTCTAATTACTCCAATAGTCTCAGGTTCCTTATTGGGTCTCAGTGGTTTATTTATTGATTTCTTCACTAGATTGAATCATGATGCAATAGAGCCGAGTGATGTGGAGTCTGTGGATGATTCCATTATTGCCCTAATGAACATTCCCGCAGTAGGAAAATTTGGAAATGGTGTTTGGCCATGGTGGCTTCCTCATGATTATCCTTTGGTCTAGTTCAGCGTAATGTTACTGTTCTGCAACGCGCACTTTAAATTCTGAGGCTCTCAACATTACCACGTAAGCATTTGGCTGCCAATTTTCAGGTTTTCGCGGCAATGCTACTGTAGGCCATCCGACAGCAAACTGGACCAGATGACCACCTGTCCACCTCTGAAGAAAATCTTACAGGAAACTTCATCACAGTCCACCCGCCAGTCAAACAGTGGGCATCTCAAATGTATGGAGAGTTTTGTCTATTTCAGCACATACCAGATTCTATAGCGTGTGAACTTTATGGAAAATAACTAGTCACGAGATATATTTTGGAGACAAATTTGATTTTTTGCTTGGTCCATTTGCTTTATCATTTATAAAGTTAACCTTGGGTGTAGTGGCTGTAAGAAGGGACCTTTTGTCTGTAACAAGGGACGCTAAGGTGAGGTGGTGATACTGTCTGAGATGATAAGGACAATATGCTCATGGATAGACAAAAAGAGCGCCGAGGCCACAACATTATTTCACAGCACAGCTGTTCAGCTGGCTTCAAGGTGGTTTCTTCTACTCATCTTTATTATTGAACACAAATTTCCCTTATCTGGGACTGTAATAAACTCTGACAGACTAATGCTACAGGTGGCCTAGGATATATTCTCTTTCTTTGGAATGAAAGAACAACTGATAGAAAACCCTCTGGGTCTTCCATGGTGTTTTTGTTATCATGTGAGCAGGAGTTAATAAGTAGAATTTGGAATAAGCAGCAAATGATTGCCCTCCAAATATTAAGCTGCAAATTGGTGTATAATGGATCTCAGAAAAGAAAAAAGAGACAGAATGTGTTTCCAGTTGACAAAGATCAGATTGTAACTAATTCTGATTGAAGGATTGGCAAAAGAGTGGTAGACACTAATGAAGACTTGTTCTCATCCAATCACTAGTTAGGGAAGAGATTTTGGTCAAGGAAACTGTAGCCCAATTCCCTTTGCTATGATACCACGTTCACTAAGCAACTTTCTGATTATAATTTAGCTTGCTATATATCTATTTATATCTATATCATCTATATCTATATCTATATCATCTATATCTATCTATCTATCTATCTATCTATCTATCTATCTATCTATCATCTGTGCTGAGTTATGACAATGTGAATATTTAGGTTTCTAAGAGATTATATATATTTATATCCATGGACATTCTGGTTTTAACATTGGTCTTCATGATTGGGCAAAGTGATTCTACTCTGAGAAACAGTCAGCCATAATTTGCCCAGAAATAAGATTTTCAGTCCTCCAAGACTGAAGGATGAGCCTCAGACTATGAGGAGCTTTTCTGGAAAGGCATCCAGCCATACCTTTTGGCAATGGCCCATTACACCTTCCTGGTAACAACGGTACCTGGTTGGCCATCTGCTCAAATTTCAACAGACAGCAACTTTGCTACTGTATCCCCAGTGCCTAGAACCTATCAGTGACTAAGAATTATTTTCTAAATGAACAGATTAAAATACCACAAACCTCTCCACTTTTTATCAACAATTAAGTTAGCTAAACTAGTCTCAAATTAACTCTAGCTTTGGCCTCCACCAAATCTTGAAATATGAAGTTTGATAGCTGCCACTGTAACGTGTCCTTTTATGTTTTGATACAGTTTAGTGAAATATTCTGTAGATGCTGAATTCTGTTATTTGGTGAGCGCATGCATTTTACTATTTTATATTTTACTATTTTATAGTCTTTGTTCCTCGTTCTATTAACCCTTGTCTTTCCGCAGTGAAAGGAACTACCACATTAATTTAGCTATCCTCATGGAAAACCTTTCATCTCCTGATTATAAAAGCTGCCCGTTGCTTAACATTTTATGTTAGATTTTTCCAGTGTGGCAGACAATATTATATCTGTTACTTCAGAGATGAATACACCTAAATTTTGTAAAAGTTTAATTCCTACCACTAGGGCTATTGGAGAATTAAATCAGATAAAGCATGTCAAAGATCTAACACAATGGCTAGCCCTCGGAGCTAAAAAAAATACATGAGTTGCTACCATTTTTAGCACAGAAGTCTTCTGGCTGCAACTTTTAAGGGATGGGGTGTATTGACACCTGTTTCTTTTTCTTTGCTTGTAGCTAAGAGCTTAGAATTCTTCCTCTTATAAATATATTTGAAGTTATTTTTCCCTAAATACATTTTGTTAAAGTTGTTTGTGCTCAGGGATTTAATATAAACGTAGAGATTGGCACTTGCCACTCTTCTTACAAATTATTTTAAACAAAGTTAAAGTAAGTACCATCCATCATTGATCTCTTGGTGACCTCATTTTTCACACGTCTATGCTCATAGATAGTGGTACTTACCCTTCCCTTCCTCTGAATTGTGGAGTTGTAAGCAAACTTGAAGATCAAAGAACTGTGGAATCATTGTGAATTTAGATACATCTGTTGTCTAGAATCTAAGTGAATTCTTTATTCATCCATGGTAACTATGCTATTTGCTTTTTAAATGCTCTTATAAAAGTCCGTCTAAACATCTACCTAAATTGTATCTCCCAATTTTCTCTTCTTCACACACTTTTCCAGTCCTCTTAAAAATGTTTTCCTATTAATGGGTCATGATTTCTCCTTCCGTATTTTATGCTGGCTTTCCTCTAAGAGCTGATGCTTTTTTTTTTTTTTTAAACTGGTCCTCTGCATTTAAATATACTGTTTCTAATTGCTAAGATACTATTTAAATACTCCCTAGTTTTGTCTATATAGTTTTTATAGATGGCATTTGTGCTAGCCATCCATCAGAGCTATAACTCATGAGGATTTGTATGAGAAATTATATATTGTCACCTAAAATATCTCAATTTCACATTAAGGTTTTAAAAAATATTTAAGTGAATATCATTCCATCCAGGTGATTTGTTTATGAGCTACCTGTTAATTAAGACTTTACTTTTCCATCCCATTAGAATTATGATAGCTTTGACACTTTCCAACGTTTTCAGGAAATTTCTAAGCAAAGAAGTTCTTCCTGTTATACCATCATTTTTCTTTCATCTTGAGTGCCATTTTTACAGGTTATTTAGAGTATGCAAAAGGAGGAAAAAAGTCACAAACCTGGAATCTGAGGATTTAGACCAAGTTCTGTCATTATAATTTGTTGTGTGCCATTAATGAAAGCCCCTAGGTTTTTCTTCATTTCTTCATCTGGTAAATGGGAATAATAATTATTTCTTCCTTACTAGACAGTTTTTTTTTTTTTTTTTTTGCAGTGTGTGTATGTGTGAGGGAGAGAGAGGGAAAGAAGACAGAGAGAGACTCAAGTTGGAACATATTTCAAAGATCCAAGGAAGGAGAAAAAAACTATTGTTTCTGACCACCTCTTCTGGGATGGGTCTTGTGTTAGTCATGCTACATATACTATTCCAATCAATAGTATTGTAACTCATGTTCATAAAATATATATTTGAGAAAATGATTCAGTCCAAATATCCAGCTTGCTACTTTCTTCTCTATCTGGCTCCATGTTGCCAATCAGATTCCAAAATCTTGATGTTGTTCTTTTTCATAGTAGCCTGTGCTTGTTTTGGGGATATGGTTGTCTCTTTTGCATCCAATAGGAAATTAATATATATATAATAAATATATATATACATATATAATATATACACACACACTATAATATATATACACTATCACATATGTACACTATGGCTATATTTGTTCTAGAATCTTTTTTAAAGGTAATGCTTCTAATTTCAGAGTTGGGAGACTTGTTTGTATGTTTTTGACTTTGCTTGAATCTTTGTTAATTTTTGGCTGTGTGCTTGTCTTTGTACTTGAATTTTCCTATTTTTACGTGGACATCTCTTGTCTTCAGTGGTTGCAAAGAAGGTTCGGGCCATGTTGCCGGGTGGAGTGCGGAAGCAGCCCATCTTATGAGCTCAAAATATCACTGTTCTCTATGGGTACACCTTGCAACAGGATGCGGACTGTTCCTCCAACCCAAGTATCCTCAGGTACTGGGGGCAGATGTTTCTGCTGTCCCCTTTTACCACAAAGGTTTTGGACTGTCTAGCTACCTGGCTCTCAGATACCCCAGGCACCACGAGAAGTTCACAGGGCACCCATGCGATATTTTGAAATTTCAAGAGAAACATAGTGATATTCACCATCTGTCAGACACCATGAGAACTACTAGGTCAGTTTCAACATCAGATCATGCTACATTCCTTTAGATGATGTTGTATTTTTGTGAAGCAGGTCTTTTGGTTTGCTGTAAACACAAGCAAGTGCCATGTCAAAATCAGTGTGGAACAGGAAATGAGGATGACAGGGTCTAATCTAAGATTTGGTAAGTTGTCCAGTGCCCA